AATGTCTAGTTTTTTCACTGGGATGAAATGTTAAATTGCTGCTTTCTTTTTTTTTTTTTTTCATCTTCACCTGCAAGTGATTAAGAAAGGGTTGTTTTCCACCCACTATGGTTATGCCATTGTCAGTCTAAACTTCTGTATAGAGAAAATCCTACTGTTGAAGTGCAACAGACATGTACTATGAACAACAAATAAACCCTAAAGTTGTGTCACTGAGATTTTGGGCTTTTTGTTGGCACAGGTTTTCCTGTCTAAATATAAACATCAATACTACTTTCACTGGAATTAATTTATAATATACATAAAACTGAAATCTTTATTTAAATAATTCTGCATTATAATGGTTTTAGGCCACATATGGACAAGACAAAAATTTAATCAATTTGAACATATCCACATAGAACACTCTATTCTAAATAGAAAAGACACACAATTTTAAATTGCCTCAAATTAGATTGCTATATAATCTCTAAAGTGGGTTTTTGCCCTAAATCTTCATTGAAATGCTGACTTAAAATTGTATGGTGTTTGTTATGATTTAGATCTAAAATGTTCCCCTGAGACCTCACATATTTGGAAGGGAATTGGATCATGGGGCACTGTCCTCATCAGTGGGTTAGTCCACTAATTAGTTTCTAGCTGACTCTGCTGTTTGGAGGTCTGGTCAGAGAAGGCTGCTCACTGCAGGGCTGACTCAGAAGGGTGTCTTCTTGTCCCAGTGCCTCCTTTCTCTTTCTGCATTTTGGGTAGCATGGGATGAGCTGCTGTCTTCTGCTCAGGCCCTAACACCTTGTAGTTTCTGCCTCTGAGCCACCTGATCATGGACTACAAGCACAAGTCAAAATAAATCTCTTCTTGTGAGTGTTAGGTATTGTGGCTCAGGGATGGGAAAGTAATATTTCATTGATCTTGTCACTTTATTATTCAATAATATATTTATGGTTTTAGGTTTTTATAATAATGTTAATAACTAAAAACTAAAGAAAAACAAAAATGATTTAAAAATGATCAATGTTAAGAAGATGAGAAGTCATGTATTTGTTCTTAATACTATACTTTAAAAATGTACAGAAAGCCAGTTATCAGTATAATATTTATAGTTTTACAATCTTATTTTGTGTATATCATATCTTTTGTATGCAATATTAGAATTTAAACATTTAAAATTTTTTCATTTTCTTCCAAGGTATTTATATGAAATTGACTTTACAATCTTATTTTGTGTATATCATATCTTTTGTATGCAATATTAGAATTTAAACATTTAAAATTTTTTCATTTTATTCCAAGGTATTTATATGAAATTGACTTTCTTAATTTTTGGAGGGAACTATATTAAAACATTTTTGAAAATAAAAATTGTATATACTTAAGGTTTACAATGTGATATTTTTATATTATACACATAATTACAGAATATTACAAGCTAATTAGTATGTCCATGTGTTCACATTATCAATTTTTATTACTCTTAGCAAATTGCAGATATGTACAATTTTAATAACTGTGTACCTTATAGCTCTAGAATTTATTCATCCTATATAATTGAAACTTTATGCCCTTTGACCAACATGTCTCTTATCCCTCTTATTTTACTCATAAATCTCAATGTGTTATTCACAATGGTATTATTAAGAAATAGCATCCCGTACCTCCAATCATAGGCAAGAATTGTCAAAATTAAGGTACAGTTTATTGATTGATTTCTTTTTGTAGGAAGATAGCAATGAGCGTGGTTTTAAACCATTATTTGCTTTGTTGGGAAGCTTGCTGTGATGCATAGTTGAATACTTTTCTTTTGCTTTTTTTTTTTTCTTTTTCTTTTTAATGGATAACCAGTATACAGTACTTGAGTGAATCTGATCAACTGCATAAAAGTAAA